CGGACGACGTGGCTGTGCGGGGCGTAGGTCATTCACATGGACATTGGTCGGCTCGCCTGTATTTCCTCTTCGGATCCAATACGTGGTGGGCCCTACTTCCTCCATCGTCGCCCGAAAGATGGCCTATGTCCATAGACCCGCTCCAAGACACGTTTTCCCGGTTTAAAGCGTATGGGTTCCTGGCTGGCGTAACGATATCGATGTTCGTTAAGGTGTGCCCGTCGGTTCCCGACTCTCCGCTGCTCCTGTTGTCTTGGGTTTGGTGGGTGAATTTCCCATTACCCTCGGCGTTGTAACTCGTATCCAAACAAGAGCGCGGCGGGCGTCTCTCTTGTCGCTGCGTTCCGTCGACCGCGGACGTTGAAAAGGGCGGTGGGAAGATGTTGGTCCCAGGCACTCGGGTTACGTTATTGCAGTTGCAACCGTATACATTTTTTCAATTCTTGTATACGCCTTTCCGTGGGGTTTGCCTGGGGGTGGTAGATCGGTGTTGTCCATTGGAGACAGCCCCATCGTCGCAACGCTCCGTCCCAGTCGACCGATATAAATTGAAGGGCGTTGTCGCTTAGGAACGCCCGCGGATACCCATAACGGGGGAACACCTCTCGGTCCATAATTTGGATGATTCGTTCTGCCTCGCTGTCTGGCATAGCGAAAGCTTCTACCCACCGGGAAAACAGGTCAGTAACAACCAGGACGAATCTGTTGTTGCTGCGTGATTTCGCGTAGGGTCCCATAATGTCTACGGCTACCATCTCCCATGGAGCGACGGGGTCTCGCGGCCTTAGTGGGGCCTTGTCTTGGAAGGGTCCCCTCTTAAAAGCAGTGCAAGCCCAACACTCTTTTACGTGCTTCCGTACGTCCTCCGTCATACCCAACCAGAAATAGTGTCGGGAGATTGCCCGCACCGTGTCCTCGGCTCCGGGGTGTCCGGCGGTGAGCGAGTCGTTATACGCGTGTATCACGCATTCGTGGAACTCCTGCGGTACCACTATCCTGTCCCCATCCGGAGAACGTTTCCAGAGGAGGTCGGTCGTCATGTACGGCGTATTGCTCCATGATGCGCCGTTCCGTCAGCCCTTCCGGACCTCTGGCTTGGATGTCGGTCCAGGAACGGACAAACTGTTGGGCCCGGGGGTGTGCCTGTTGACCCGCCTTGATCTGCTCCAATAGTTCGGGTCAGCCTACGAGAGCCACGTGCGGTTGTTCTTCGGTCTTCGTCACTGCCTCGCCGTTCAGCTGGTAGAGCAGCCTTTCCGTGTTGGGTGCATCGTTGTTGGCCATCAGGTGGTCAACGGGTTCGCGCGACAGGAAATCCGGCAACTCGTTCTTTTCGCCTGGAACGTGCTCCACCTTGAATTTGAATTCTTGTAGGAGGAGCGACCAGCGGGTCAACTTAGCGTTCTTCTCCTTTAGGGTTTTAAGCCACAGAAGAGCTCTGCTCTCTGTCCGCAGGGTGAACGGCCTGTCGTCCAGATAAGAGCGGAAATGGCGCACACCCCAGACAACTGCCAAGCATTCTTGCTCGTTAATGTGGTACTTCTGCTCGGCTGGGGACAGTTTGGCGCTGGCGAACCCGATGATGCGTCGACCGGGCTCCTGATAAAGGACGACCGCAATCCCCTTTCCACTTGCGTCGGTTTGCAACACGAACGGCTTGTCCAGTTCCGGGCGGTGAAGCTGGAGGTCCCGGCTCAAGGCTTGCTTGACGGCGGAGAAGGCCTGCTCGGCTGCCTCGGTCCAACGGAACGATCGACGACCTAGAAGAAGGTCCGTGAGAGGGGTCAGGATTTCAGGGCACCGAGGAATGAACGGGCCCAACCAATTGGCAAGGCCCAGAAAAGACTGCAGCTGCTTCTTCGTCCCTGGTCTGGGTGCACGGAGCATGCCCTTGATGTGGGACGGGAGTGGTGCGATACCCTTCGGGGTGATCCTGTGTCCCAGGTAATTGATGGTGGTGGCTCCAAATACACATTTCTCGGGCGAGAGACGTAAGTTGTGCATCTGTAGGCGCTCGAAGATCAGGCCGAGGTGTAGTAAGTGTTCCTCCCAATTGGCACTGAACACAATGACGTCATCAAGGTACACCAACGCAAACTTCCTTGGGTACCCCGGCAGTCATGAGTTTTTGGAAGGTGGCCGGGGTATTTTTTAGGCCGAAAGGCATGACCCGAAACTGATAAGTCTTGTGTCGTGAAGGCAGTCATTGGTTTGGATGAATCCGCCATGGGAATCTGCCAGTACCCGGAACGAAGGTCCAGTATCGAGAACACGCAGGCCCCGCTGAGGTCACGGAGGGTTTCCTTAATCATCGGTAGCGCCGATGACTCGTCCTCGGTCTGGTTGTTGAGGCGTCTATAGTCGATGCACAGGCGAGGCTCGCCATTCTTCTTGGACACCAGTACGATCGGCGAGGCATATAGGGACCGGCTGGCCTCGATTACAACTTCACTCAACATCTTCTCGACTTCCCGGGCTATGGCCTCTTTTTTGGTGGTGGAGTATCTGTAGGGTGGGAGCCGAAACGGTGTTGAAAGCGCGTGATAGCTGAACGCTGGAGATTTTTACGACCGCTCGCTTGGGGTTGCTGGTTGGCTTGGCGGCGGTCCCTTGGTCGTTTCCCGACATCGGGGTAGATCTGGCAGTTGCGGCGGAAATGTCGCTCTGGACATTACCAGCAGGCTGGCGCCGCACAGTGGGGCCAAATGACCGAAAAGCGGAAAAAATACAATATCTAGATAACCGCTAGTTCTATCAAATTGCGGCTGCTCTCATTCGATTCAACATAAAAAAGTACATTACAAATGATACTAAATTGAAAAGATTAATTACTTTAATATAAATTTTACTGATAATAATACACTGACAATATGTGTATATAGGTTGATTCAAAAGTAGAGCACCAAACTGAAACCCCATGTAGAACTTCTGATTTCAAGTCGAAATGAAAGAATAAAATTTTTTCCGATCGGCTTTTGTTTTCGAGATAATCGACTTCAAAGTTTGATTTTCAGTGTTGTAGGTAACAACTAAAAGTTTTATAAACGCAAAAAGTGGCTAATAGTTCTGGTAGAAAAATTAATTTTAAATCGAAAGTAAAGAATAGCACTTTTTCCAATCGGCTTTTGTTTTACCCCCACACTGAAAATGAAATGTATAATGTATAACGAAAAATTAAAATAATAATTATGTTCAACATAATTCAAGGGCTTCTTGGCTGATGGGAAGGTTCTTTTTTTTAGGCTCAGGCCTCAAGTGTGTTATAAAGGGATCTGACGACTCTAATAACTTATTGAATACATCCTCATTTGTGGCAGTACGGGAACATTTCCTTGTGTAGTGAAGCCTGTAACATTTATAATCTTTATGTCTGCTTTCCTGCGCTTTCTCTGAAAGTAACCCAATCGACAGTGCTGCAGATGTTATAATTTCAGCTCCATGAATTAAGATTTTATGGACCGTTGAAGGCATATAATACCATGGGTACAATTGTATTGCTAACTTAGCCGTTTCTGTTGTGTATAAGTGGAATTTGTGCGAATCAATTGAAATGTCGCTATTAATTATCTCTAGTATTACACCAAGTCGGCGAATCAAGTTTTCATTAATTTGTGTTATGTCAGCAGTCAAAGAAGGGTCTCGGAAAAACACTCTAGAGGTATTTCCAGTATTAGTGGAACCAAATCCTTGTTTTACGAAATCAACCTTTATCCCTAATTCAGCCATAAAACGTTTTTATATACGTTCTTTCGCAACCATTTTGATTGGAAGTGTAGTTTTCGTAGTCCTCCATTCCTTAAATTCTAAGTTGTAACCAAGATGAAGTATAAATTCCATAAACTTTATTCGTGCATGAAGTGGGGAAATACCTAGCTGAATTGCTTCTTCATTACGAGGCTTATTTTCGAGCTTTGATAAGTCGTTCATCTCAGATGGACGAGCTCCACAAATGAAACAGTTGCTTGCTGCAGTTGTATTGGTGATATGCTGGGCTACTTTTCCGTCTAGCATTGTGAAATGTAGAATATGCTTCACTGTGATGGAATATGTGCTTTGCTGTACAGTTGTTGGTTGCAAAGTTGTTATTTCATTTTCAATGCGTTCTTTTTCCGCTCTTATTATGTCAGCACTTTATTATGTCAATTTCGCTTTGGTTACCCGACTGCGAGGAGACAGCAGCATTGATTAAGGCTTGGGACTGTGATGTTTTTAGTTGACGAATTTTGCTCCTTTGACTTCTCTTTCCACAATTTTCAAAATCTTTACTAGGCCTTCCTTTGCCAACTTTCGACACCGAGCACAATGAAATATTCGTACCACCACCTTCGTCATGTTTATCAGTATCAACGGGAAACGTGAACACAAAGTTACGTGTCATCCAATCACTATTCTTCTGTTTAAATACGGTTTTGTTTCGATTAACTGATCTCCACTTTACCTTGAAATTAGGAAGAAATCTTGTTGCAATTGCTTTGGAAATTACGGGTATCTGATCCTCAGTAATATTAGGAAACTTCTCTCGAATGAGAGAATTAAACGACTGAATGCTGGAAGGACCATTATTAAACAAGTATTCACACAAATCATTGTAACTGATAACTAGAGGCTCCATGTTATCTTTACTACGTATAAAATATCGTCTAAAACAGATTAAACAGTCTCAAAACAAAAGTCACATTTGAATTGATCAAAAAAACCTTTAGAAAATGAAAATATTTGCACAGATTGCGAATATTACTAACTCGTGAATATTACTAACGTAATTACTGAACTCGCAGGTATATGCAAATAATACTTTAGGGTCGTTTGCACTAAAGCATACTGATTGAAATTTTATCGATTCCGAATTAAAGCACGATAAAGTTTTTTTTTTAAATCACGTTATGCCAAAAGTTGTTATTCTGTGAACCGGTTTATTCGGTTGTCTTGTTTTCGCTGATAAATACATGTTTATATCAAACGTATATTAACTATTCTATAACTGCAAATCGGTGTATTCTTTAGATAAAGCTGATTTTTACGGCCGGGATTTTTTCCGGCGTTGCCCCACTGTGCGGCGTTCTAGCGGAGGCCTTTGGGCTGGAGGCCGCTGGTGCTTCTGTTTTTGGCGCTCGGTTTTGGGCTAGGAGATCGTCTAGGGTGACGATTTTTTTCATTAGCGCCAGTGGAGTCGGCGGGGGGTCCGAAAGATACACCCGCAGGTCCTTCCTCATCAACGCGATGTCCTGGGTCTGGTCTTTTTTTTTGTTTAGTAGTTTATTTGTTTGTATAATTTAGTTTTCGTTAGTTTTATTGTCAATTGCATTATCGTTCCAACGCACAGCCAGAACTTCGTTTACCTTATCAAATGAGTAGTCGCTGGTACCTCGATCTTTTTTTTTCATTGTGCGCACATCAGTAAGAGAGTTTATGCGACTTAAAAAAATTGTCGAATGTCACGCAGTGTTGGCTCGGACTCTAATTTCGATAGCAGACGAAGAACAACGTTCTCACCGAGTCCGAGCTCTTTATTATTATTACTGGATGCGTTGGCGTACGGTATGAATGAAAAAATCGGTCCTTCGGACGAGCAAAGACACCAATACTTGAATCCAAATCGGATCGGTTTCCCCTTGATGAACATTTTACAAGAATGTCGACCGAAATATGCAATCATTTGTTCGTCGATCAATAAATTGTGAGCGAAGACGCCGAATTGCATGAACCGTTCGTTCATCATATCATTCAAGGGTGTCACCTTGGCGAATTTGTCTTTCGGATCAAGGCTTCGGTTATCGCATACATGGAGATGCGCTTTGACACGAAGAAAACGATCACGAGTCATGCTTGCTTTTATTATCGCACAACCTAAAGATGGGCTATCCGACCAATAACACCTGATTATCGGCAATGTGTGATACCCAGTCACAAACAATATTCCTATTACTTTGCGCACTTCTTCGACATCGGTTTTGAAAGAGGGATCATTGCGATCGATAGCCGCATATCGGTTTGTACTTTGAACAATGAAATTGATGACATCAGCATCGATAAATAATTCGAATAACTGTAATGGATTCAGTGCTCCTGCAATTCGAAACAATAATTTACACTCATTGGAATGAATGAGAGAACGGAAATCAATTACCTAATTTTGTATAAATGTCTGCGTGTTTTTCTATGGACAAAACTACCGGCTGCTTCAAGAATTTATAGTTCTTAGTCTTCATCCACTTAGGCTTGAGCAAAACAAAGGGCCGATCGCTAATGTCCGAATCTTCGTTATTTTCACACATCGGTTCTTGTGGACAATGTTCGTTATCGTCATCGAATTCGCACATAACTTCGATATGGCCCGTAATATCGTTAGGTATATCCCCACTCATCAATTGTGTACCTTCATCTAATCTTCATTATCACTAATCGCATCGATATTTTCTGGCGGCAGAACTATGAAATCCACGTGGTCGGCATGTCGAATTTGAGTCGCTGTTTCCTCTTCATCAGAGCTAGCATTCACCAAGTCTTCGATTTCACGAGCGGTCGTATACTTTTTTCGCAACATTGTATGTAAATAATGTAAGATGATATAGAATAGAGCAGAGCGAGATTGATGCGGTACTGCTGTCAACTAGCGTATTCGTTGACTTAGCGAGTGGACTGAAGTTGCAGTGCATATTGTTTGTTCGACCACCGGTTCGACCCAGCGTTGCGTTTTCGCAACACTGACCTTCGCGGCTATCTGGCAAGTAGTAAAGACTCGCGAATCGCCACGAAATAATATTTTCCGTCGAATATATGGAACTAAGAGTGGGAGCATACGATAGAAATTCTTTTTTCAGTATTTTTTTCATTTTTCCCAATTTATTGAAAATTGAAAACGGAAAACCGTGAAATTCACGATTTTCAATAGCGAAAAAATTAGGGGAAATAACCGAATCGCACAAAATGCGAAAATAGGTCGATAAGATGCTTCCTTCAACTAAAATATCCGCTTTGATTCGGATCGAAATGTCGCACATGGTGACCTGTAGGTAAGGAGAAGCAGTGCGAGAAGCACGCTAGGCATTAATGGGTTAATCTACAAGTAGTACAAATAGATGTAGGTACCCACGGTTTACCTAAATTTCTCATAGGTATGTTGTAACATTCTAAACATTTTTGTAAATCCATTCATTAATGGTTCTGCGATAAGGACGTGTTTCGAAGTTTCCGCAAAAATGTCACTAAAGAATAAGCTTTCCGATTCATATTTTTTTATATTAATATTCCATCATTTCAATTTTTTTTGTAGAAAATCCAATATGGTTATGACTTTCATCTTATAAAACACTAGAGAGCTTAAATAAAAAGTAATATGTAAATTGTTGTTAAGAAAATACACAAAAAAAATGTTAAGAAAATATTAGAAACGCAAACGGGAAAATTTGAAACACTTATAAATGTCAATTAAAGTTCGGGTGAAAAACTGTCAAATAAAGAAAATGAAATATAAACGTCTTACAGTTCTTGTAGAATCTTTTAGTGGTTGTTCAAACAGAAAATAAAAGT